AGAGAGAGAGAGGAGGGAGAAAGAGAGAGGAGAGAGAAAGAGAGACAGGAGAGACAGAGAGGTGGAGGAGAAAGAGAGAGAGGTGGAGGAGAGAGACAGAGAGAGAGAGGGAGAGAGAGAGGAGAGAGAGGAGGGAGAAAGAGAGACAGGAGAGACAGAGAGAGAGGTGGAGGAGAGAGACAGAGAGAGAGAGAGAGAGGAGAATTGATTGGGGATGTAGGAGAGATTGTATGAATGATGGAGTTCCAAGATGAAGGTCCAGGAGGAGATGAGGGATAGCCTACGGTCCTCTGACAAGAGTGGGAGGGGGGATGTAGATTTTGAGGGGCAGAGGCACGGAATTGAGGGAGACGAGAAGGGCACGGAGCTGTGATCTCAGAAAAGTAGAAATGGGGAGTGTGTCTAGGAATGAGGCTCAGCTGAGCCCTGACCCTGGATAGTGTTGGGTTCCCTTTCTGACATGAAACTTGGAAATGATTTTCTGTGGTTTATGTCTAATAGATGTTGGAAACTTTGTAATCTTCCATCAGAATTTCTCCACAACCCTAAAAGTTGTCATGAGTCCTCTGCTAATGGGCATGCATCTAAAACTGAAGGATTGAACATGGGTCAGGGTAGGACTTAGCACACTTGTTTTTAAAGCATCTCATCCAGTCAGCTTATTTTCTTGACCACAGAAATTTCTGAACATTAAGATTTCATTCATCTGTAGTCTTTCAGTTTGCAGCGCTGCCATCACAACTTAGCTCCTGGCATCTCTAATTAGGAGGTTTGCACCTGTACAAAGTCAGCCTCAGAAGCCCAGGTCTTGGGCGTGTTTTTTCACTCCTTTTGCTTCAAGAGAAGTTCCCCTGCCTCTACGTCCTCTCCCCTCATTGCCTATGATTTCCCATGAGCATCTGTAGCTTCAGGCCACAGTCTGGGAGCACACTTTGTCTGTAAACTGTTATAGAAGTTAATGCCAACTTTGAAAAACACAGCTTTGAAGTTTCAGTTCCTATGTTATTGTGCCAGAAATTTCAACTTTATTGTGTTAATATTTTTTCCCAAAATAAGAATTGTACATAAGTTATTACTCTAATTCATTTGTGAAGTAATAGATTTTAGAGAATTTTTTTTAAAAAAAGACTTAGGTATTTCTTGAAAGTTTGTTTTTTTTTTTTAATTTGGCTTTAGCAAACTGGTCTGTATTCATTTGTTTGTATGTGCTGGTTTTGTGTTGTTGTTTTCCCCCATAGTGAATTCCGTCTTCTTACCCAGATGGCTATACAGAAAAACGTCTTCGAACTTCGTTAATGTAAACCGTTTTAAGTTATAGTATTGTGCAGTGTTGTTCATAAAGAGTTTCAAAATGAGTTTCCAATTTGGGATGGCTTTCCGGACAAGTTTTAGATTTCATTGGCTCCTGGGCCACATTTGAAATGAAGAGAGGATTATTAAAGACATCTTCCATTCTTTTTCCTGGGGGCCAGACGATATTTGCACAGTTTCAGCACAGTCGAGAGAAAGCGCTTCCCTCCGACAATATCAGGCACGCCCTGGCAGAGAGCTTCAGAGATGAGCAGCGGTTTCAGCTTGGCTTTATGGACGACGCTGCCGAGTGCTTTGTGAGTATTCTTCAAGGATTCCTGGCATAGGCGTAGGGGAGCGTGTGCATCTGTGCGTGTGTGCGTGTGTGTGCTCGCGCACTCACGCGTGTACATGCAGACAGACTCTAAAGTGGTCGCTTTCCCACAGTTTTTGAGGCAGCTACAAAAAAGAGATTTCTAACCCCGCTAGACTAATGGAAGAATAGCAGACCTGGCCGGTGGTTTGGTGGTGTCCTGGACTCAGTGAAATGTGTGTGCAGAATCACTTCTTAGAAGCTGAGGGCTTAGACAGAATAGGATCTTTGAGGCCCGGTCTGGGTTCAGAAGTGCCTTGTGCAGTCGCCCTGACAGCGCATCGAGCCATCGGTGTCTGTACTGTGTAAATGGAACCATTTTCTTTAACACGGAAAACATGTTTAATGAGATTTTTTTAAAATAAACATTCTTTTCAAAGACTTTCTTCAAGTAAGCGTTTAAATTTTGCTTGTTAAATATATTAGTGACTTAAGAAACAGTGGATAGAGAGTGCCAAAGTCCTGGATCCCCAGTGAGGCCTAACTAGATTAAAATGTAATTGGGAAATGTTTACCAAAATAAAAAAAATGTACAGTACGGGGTAGATAATGTTAACTTGTGGTTTTCTAAGTCCGTATGTGGCCTGCAGGAATAATGACACCACCCTAGTCAACTCTGCCTTGGTAAAGGACCAGATTTTTTAAAAAATGTGACTGAGCCTCAAAATTTTTCATCCTTTTCGTGGCGTCTGCTACTGCATCTTATTGGTTCTTCCTTCTTGTCTCCTTATTCCGTCTCTTCCTTTCCACTTGTGCACCTGTTTTTAAGTCAGCCCCCCATCCCTGGATTTTTACAGAAGTTTTTTAACCAGTCTCTTTGCCCCTTAGTTTCTCCTTCTTGAGTACTGATATCAGATTATTCTTCCTAAAATAATCATTTCATTGTCACTGACCTACTCAAAAGCAGTAGCTCCCCATTGCCTACAGAGTAAGGTCTAAATTTAGCCGGGCATCTAAGGCCTTTCATGACTCAACCCCAGTGTAATTTTCCTGACATAAACCTCCCTGCTCCCGCCAGTCTCCGGTTAGTAAACAGTGCAGTACTTTTGGTATTGCTACCTTTGTGCTTTTGTCGATCTTATTTCCTGCTTCCTCACATGCCCTGCTCCCTTTTCACCTATCCAGAGTCCATCCATCCCTCCCCAAGAAGTGAACAAGCCCAGCCCCTAGATCTGCTCTCTACCTTAATGGGCCCAGAACACATTTTACTTGGATTGACATTCTGAACCTAAACACCAAATAAAAATGTGCACTGCTGTCCAGGTTATCCATCTAAGGAATGCTTCACTGATAAGTAACAGATGTATTCCTGAAAAGTTGTTGTTGTTTTTCAAATAGAATGATTGAAATGCACTGGGAAAGTATTGGAGTAGAAAATAAGAAAATAAGCCTCCTATCTTTAAAAACATGGTATTGTAAATCAAAGGATCTCTTTGTGGGGGAAATTGCCTCCCCCCATTTATCTGCTATAATTCTTAATTTTCACATAGCAGAATTACTCAAAGTGTGAGCACTCATATTGAAGTATTAATGCAAATATTACTCTGAGACTTGACTCTGATTTCCACCGGCCTGTAAGGTGTGCCTTCGATTTGATCAGCTAGTTTTTTTTTTCAGTATTTGGATGTTGTAGAAATAGGAAGGCACATTTTTATTTCCAGTCTGGAGATCAGGTACCTGTCACTCATGGCCCATGTAAGCAGATTGCCAATACTGTCTTTTGGCTGTTTTTTAAAGGCTGTTCCACTTTTACTTCACCTAGTTGGAGTCCTCATTTTCATTTATGTACTGCCCCTTTTATATCCCTCTCCTCCACCCACACTGTCTAGTTCTCCCTTACATGTTCTCCTCCTTCCCTTAGAATATAACCCTGGGGACCCGGACTGCCTTGCTTGCTTGGATCTGTGGTCCCAGAATGTGGCACAGTGCCTGGCACATAAGCAGTGCTTCATAAATGCTTTTTCATTCAGTTATCATTTGCAGATTACAAAAAAGTAAATGACTGGGCAGAATTTGCAAGTGAGTTTTGTGAAGTATGTGTTTCATTCGAGGCTATGGATGACATTTCATTACATTACTCTTTAGTAAATTCTTGACTTATAAGAGTTTTATTTTACAAAGAAAAACTGAATTCTCTTCAGCTCAGTCACTGGTTTGATTAGATTTTCTCTCTTGTTTTTTTTTTGGCTTCTGACCAAATTAGGAAAATATCCTTGAAAAGATTCATTTTCATATTGTGCCAAACAGTGATTCAGACATGTGCACCTCGAAATCCTGCATTCCTCATCGGAAATTTGCCATGACTCTCTATGAGCAGGTAGGGCTGCCTTTGGGTATTTGGCGTTGTAACGTTTCCTCCTTCAGACTTCTGCAGACTAAAAAGCCGCCTGACTTTTTGTCTGCAGTGTGTGTGCCGGACCTGCGGAGCGTCCTCAGATCCCCTGCCCTTTACAGAGTTTGTCCGTTACATTTCTACAACAGCCCTTTGGTAAGAAGCCGTGCACCGTCTCTCTTTCCCTCTCTCCAGTTTTTGACAGAGACATCAGTGTCCTGTTACGGCCTCACTGGGGACAGTTGGCTTGGTATTGATGTTTATTATCTTATTCTTGTGGAGGGGCTGGGTCAGTGCTGTCATCAGTAGAGGGAGGTCTGGGTAAGGGCTCTCAGCACGACCAGTGAAGGGTGGCACCTTCTCAGCAGCTGGGGCCCAAGAGGAGAAGACACTTGTCCAGGGCCACTGGCCAGTATATGTCAGAGTGAGGGGGCACGTGAACCCAGGGCTTCCTGAAGCCACGGACAGCTTTCTGTATCACATTGCTTCCCTTGAAGATAATATTGCTTAAAATGAGAGGAAGTAAAAGGAACAAAATTAAAATTAGTTGTAATTGTACTTTTTGGGAGGAAGACGTGAAATGAAAAAAACAAACACATAAAGATGCTTTAGCCTTCTTGGGAAACTTAAAACCAATAATCCCTATTCCTTTAGGTTAGTGGGACTGTCAGTTTCACAGCAAGGTGAAATTTTAAGAGGTGATCTGCTGTCCCCTTGGTGGCTGCTTGTGTGGGATGATCGATATAAATTTGATTTTGTGCCTAACAGGAGTGATCCCTACTAGAGATCCTCCATGGCCACGTAGATATGAATCAGTGTGCTGGAGAGTGGATAGAGTGCAGAACGTATTGGAGATATAAAGCAATGTGGATTGATTTTCATCTGCATCTTTGTAATGGGAACCAAGATGAGGTGCCACGAAGATCAGGACAGAAATATTTAACCTACAGTGCTGCCCCAGGGAGCACTCCTTAGGGAAAAAAGTGTCCGCTTTTTCCATTATATCATCCCTTAGCTCCTGAGGGGAAGAACAAAAAAAAGTATAAATCATCATTTAATGTATTTAAAACAAAGCTCAACTGGACTTTGTTTACCTGACCTAGCTAATCCCTTTGTCTGTACTATCAAGGAAGAAGAAAAGATAGAAACAGCCAGTGTTGGAGTCATTGTGGAAAGACAGGCACACTAATTCAAGGTTTGGTGGAGCCGTTTTGGAAGGCAGTTTGAGATTGGGCTAAAAGAGTGATTGTGATGTCTGCTTTGACCCATGGCTGCCACTGCCAGGTTTTCATATTCCCAAAAGGAGTCAGGGACAGAATATTCACCCGAATATTCACAGCAGTGCTTTTTGTGGTAGCAGAGAACTGAAAAAAGTAGCTGTCCATCAGTTGGGAAAATAACTAAATAATTGGAATGTGAATGTGATGGAGTATTATTGCATGATAAGAATCAACAAATTCAGAGAAGTATTGGATGACGTGTATGAACTGATGAAGAATGGAAGGATCAGGAAAACCACATACACAATGTGGTTTTAAAATCTTAAGAAGTTTTCTGTGTTCTTCAGATCACTATTTTTATGTCATAATTTTTTATGCATTTTACACATTTTATAATGAAAATCAATAGGAAATATAATTTTAATTTATAGAAATCAACTTGAGAGCAAAATTTTCAGGCAAACTTCTCTTCTTACAAAATAAAGGAGTCTAATTTTTGCAGCCAAAGCATTTTTATTTCTGATTACATTATTTCGACTTTTTAAAGTCTGTAGTTCAGAATTGGAAATATTTCTTTTTATTTGTAGTAATGAAGTGGAAAAAATGATTGAAAGAAACGAACGCCTGAAGCCTGAAATGTTTGCAGAATTGCTGCAAGCTGCAAACACCATGGATGACTTTAGGAAATGTCCTGTAAGTATCGGTTGAGAAAGTGGACCTGCACTTCTGGTTCCTGAAGCTTCTCATTTATCTGAAGAAGCTTCCAATCTTTTAGAATGTATGTAATCGATCTCCACATTCTCTATTGAAGACTTTCGTGGTGTCTTCTTGTGGTAGGGAGCCTGTTTGCCAGCCTGAAATTTTGCTACTTTTTAAGAGATTAATCTATCCTTGATTAACTTGCAAGTGATGAGAAATACTTTATTAGAAAATAAAGTTCGTTATCACTCCAAAATTTTGCCTGTTCATTAGCCTGGAATAAAAAGTAAATTTTCTAACTAAAATATTTCCAGGATGAACCTAATTTTTTATAATTAAACTTAACATGTAAAATATGTGTGAAACTCTTATGTTTGCTTTTATTTTATAACTTTGCCCTTTTTTTCTTCCCTCTAGAGTAACTGTGGCCAAAAAATAAAAATCCGCCGTGTTCTAATGAATTGCCCTGAGATCGTCACAATTGGCTTAGTTTGGGATTCTGAGCATTCTGATCTGACTGAGGAAGTTGTTCGCAATCTAGCAACTCACCTGTATCTTCCTGGGGTATTTCCATTAATATCTTTCTATTAATGTTTGGTTCCCCCCCACCGCCCCAAAGTCAGAGGCATCATGGTGGAGAACAGTAGAGTGGGTGTGGACAGCAGACTTGCATTTCACAGTCGCTGTGGTGCGACCTGAGCTTGTGGCCCTGGGCACACTGCCTCACCTCTCACGGTCCCCCGAAGCATGGAGATAAGGTGACTTTCACTTGGTACCTCGGGGTGTTTTCAGGGAAGCCCCTTGTAATTGTGAGCTACTCAGTTATTTTAAAGGGCTTTTTATATTTGATACATTTGATTTTGTTTCCTCGATCTAACTTCTTTTGTCTTTAAGGAGACTTTTGGATGTAATTCTGATACTGGGAGATATTGTGTGGTCTAGTCTAGTGCAGTAGATTAAGAAGCAGTGAAGGGGTGTGAGTGAAAAAAGTGGTAAGAAGCCCTGGTCTAGTGAAAAAGCTGGATTGGGAGTCAAGTAACCGGAACTTGATCTCTGGCTCATTTACCTACCACGTTTGTGACCGTGCTCAGTTTACTTCTCTCTGGGCTCAGTTTCTTTATAAGTAAATGGAATCAAATGAAGGGTTGGATTGGACGGTCTTTGAGATCCCTTCCTGCTCCAGTCAGTGTAGATGGGAAAGCGGTCCTCAATGAAATCCTGTAAGATCACGAACTGCACAGTGCAGGACAGACCATAGAGACCATTGAGTGTAATCCCCCTTGATTTTACAGATGAGGGAATTAAGGCTCAGGAGGGAAGTCACTTGCTAAAGTCCTGAAGGAGGCAGGTGACAGCGTTGAGGTGTTTAGCCCCAGCTCCTCTGCCTCCTGAGCCTGGGCGCTTTTCTTCCCTACCACTGCTTCCCTAACATAGAGGGTCATGCCTTAAAGCTGGAAGGGACCTCCGAGGCCAGCTAGGTCAGCCCCCTTTCATTTTATAGAAGGGGAAACCGAGGCTTGTGGAGGTGAAGATCATTCAGACAGTAAGTGACAGAGGCAGGGCCTGATGCTCGATCCTCTGACTCCTGAGCCTTTGCTCTTCCCACTGTCTTTGGCTGCCCCTGGGTGAGAAGAATAAAAGATAATTAAATCACACTGACCATGATGACGTAATCTTGTTGTCAAGTACTAGAGATGTTAGGGATGAGTTATGAATAGCACCTAATGGACTTTCCCTTGCCAGTTTCCCTTGTCCCAGGACTTCTGCTAAGATTATGGCACACCAGTCTCTTAAAAAGTTATTGTCTTAATATTTTCCACTGAAACATTTTTGAATCGGTAGACTAGCCAAAATTCACAAATACCTAATGGAAGTTTTCACTTATTCTTCACATGTGTAGGTATGACGCTTGTTAGGGCATCTTGTTTTGAGATAGAATTTGGAAAATTGGACCCAAAATTTTAAAATTCCATTAAACATATTAAGTGCTTACTCCACGTGAGGCACTGTGCTGGGTGATGCTGAGAATACAAAGACAAAACAAAATGGCTCCTGCCCTCAAGGAACTTACAATCCACTAAATGGTTTCTAATACATACAGTTTTTACCGAGTGCCTCACAGACATGGGCAGGCCGTACATATTTCTGAATAAATGAATGTTTCATTAACTAGTCTGGTCTCACCACAGTGACCCCAGTCTTAACAGATAACATGAGCGGAAAAACATATGGGGACTAGAGAGAGAGTCTACATTTTTAGAAAGTCTGGTGTTTGGGTAACATTTTCGTTGTGTCTTTTCAAAATTTGTTCATTACTTCACTAGAAATTTGGGTAGCATAGCATCGATAGAATCAGAGCTGAAAGGGGCTTTAGAGGTGCTAGAGTCAACCTTCCTCATTTTATAGATCAGGAAACCGAGGCCTCGAAAAGGGAAGAAACTTCCTCGTATCATGGGCCTTGTAAGTCTCAGAGAGGGGATTTGAACCCAGGTCTTCTGACTCCAAGTACAGCACTCTCCCCACTCTGCCAGTGCTGCCCGAGGGTACTCGTTTTAGTAGAATTGCTGTTGAGGTTAATGTAGTCAGTGGTGATAATGTCTCCACTGTTTGAGCAGTAACAGTATACTGTAGATTGGTGATAGGAAGACTTGTGGAGATTTGGATGGTGCCAGGAGAAGGCAGAAAGCTCTGTCGTGGCGGCTGAGTCAAGGGAGGGATACAGGAAGTCTGTGTTACTCGTTTTTTTTGTCAAACCGCAATTACTAATGAGTAATCCGTTTGTACAGTTGTTTTATAGGGTAACTGATGAAAATGCCAAGACTAGTGAGCTTCATCTTGTTGGCATGATCTGCTATACCAGCCGACATTACTGTGCCTTCGCTTTTCATACCAAGAGTTCCAAATGGGTGTTTTTTGATGATGCCAACGTGAAAGAGGTGAGGCGTGCTTTTGTGCCAGCTGATTGAATCGTCTATACCTTTCAACTATTTTGACTCAGGTAGTCGACTCTAGTTGTCAAAAGGTCGTGAAAATTGTTAGACTATTATGGGAGAATTGTAGATATAGAAGCATTTTCCTTTGTGTGAAGTTTAAATATTTTAAAAATAAATTGGAAAACATGCAATCCCTGTGAGGATACAAAACAGTGGTCTGCCACACTTTATCGTAGCAACGTGTGCCAGGCCTCGGGGAGGCAGGGGCCTGGACACAGGGTGTTGTTGTTGTGTACAGCGTCTGGAGAAGTGAGCAGGGTTCGTGGAAGTAGCTGCTGAAGATGGGTCTAGGGACGTAATTAAGGACCATCTCACAAGTCCGTCTTCTGATGCCCGGCAGCTCATGGTGACGGTGCACAGGTGGCAGTCTTAGGTGGTGAAAGGTGTGCTCCCCCTGTCCTTGTGTACGTTGCTGCTGGCCCACCCACAGGAACGGGCTCATCGTTTGGTAGAATGACTTTTTCAGCTGATCCAAGATTTTATCAGTGTGATTATTCTCTTTGTTTATGGCAACTTGGATTTGAAGCTCTTCACGTCTTAGAAAGTTAACTGGAGAAAAAAGCCTCCCCCCGGCCAGGTGTCTGGTGATGTGGAGTTCTCTGAGCTGCACTGGGATGTTCGTGGGCCAGCAGCAGCCGTGCGGTCCGTGAGGCCTGGTTTCTAACCAAACTAGGTCAGCTGTGCCACAATGTGGTACCCTTGGCATAGACTTCAGGACCGTAGGGTTCCTGCTGTGCCAGAGTGGAAAGGGAGGGGCGAGCAGCAGACTCAGGTTGTTGTGGAAGAATTCGGAACATAATTAGCAGAAGATCATGGACTGTTTTGAGTATGAGTTGCTCTCTGAAGCTGTTTTTGTACTGTTCCTACCCAACAAACTGGGTAAATGAAAGATTAATGAAAAAAATGGAACTAACACGTTTATTGGCAGTTCTAAAATTTAAAAGTCCTATAATTTCCTAATGGCTTCATTTATTTTCCTAAACAAATAATCCAGCTGATAATGGAGAACTAGGCCACTAAATTCCCTGTGACTTAAAGGAAAGCCTTTTCCTTTTTGTGCCTGTGACACGTTTTGATGCTGACAGCTCCCGAAGCCCCATGTGTGGGATGTGATGCACAGCTTTGTTTCAAGGCCTTAGCAGGGATTCGACCCTGGAGAAGGGGCCCCGTCAGGGCCGCAGACTACCCATCTGGGGAGGTGGGCGTGTCAGGCACCTCTGTCATCCCTTTGTTTTTAAGGATCATTAACACTCAGCTCATCTAATGACTGTCCTGTAGATCATTTACCTTGAAACCTTTTTAGGTTGGGACTAAATGGAAAGATGTGGTGTCCAAGTGCATGAGATGTCATTTTCAGCCACTGCTTCTGTTCTATGCAAACCCGGACGGTTCAGCCGTGTCCACCGAAGACGCTCTCAGGCACGTCGTCCACTGGTCCTATTACAAAACCGCTGCTGATGAAGACGCGGGTAATTTTTTCAGTGGCTTCACCCTCAGGGTTAAGATTCGAGGACCAGAGTCTAGTAGGTGTTTGGTAGACTCATTGGGGTACGAAGAACAACGTGTCAGCCAGTTCCCTGCCCGGGATTACTGCTGCTGAGGTCACTGGGGGGGGGGGGCGGGGCTCTGCATGTCTGCTTCAGAAGGGGTCACACTAGGAAGGGGAGGAGGGGGAGTGTTTTAGAAACAGACGCTAATGTTAACAATGCCCAGAAAACGATTATTTTTCAGTTAACAGAGACAGATTCCGTCTTTTAAAACTTCAGTGTTTCTCTTTCAAAGGTTTTGAAAGGCCCTCTACTCATAAACCAGAGAGTACCAAAGAAGATGGATATGGTCATCAGGCGAGGCAGAGAATCAATCAGAAATTGCACATCGATGATGCCGTGACTTTGACTCGCGGCCCTGCCCTTGCAAGTGGTGGGAAAGGACCAGGTGTGTGTGTGTGTGTGTGTGTGTGTGTGTGTGTGTGTGTGTGTGTGTG